TATAAGAGACAGGTGCAGCACCCAGCATCTTCCCGCTGGGCAGCACCGGGCACCTCTGACCAAGCGCTTCCCCTCTCCCGCGATGCGCTGAGCGTCTCCACTGCCCGCAAAATCCTGCAGCGCATCCTCCGCAGCAGCCCCTCCCGCAGTTCTGTGCAGCGCTGGGCACCCCGACCCAATATGGTGCCCCCCCTCCCGCACCGTGCAGCACCCAGCGCCCCCGCTGTGCTGTACCGCATGCAACAACCCCCCTCCCCCGCCTCTAGCCATCACCACTCTACAGCACCAGCCAACCCCCTCTTGCCTTCTGCAGTGCCCCCGCAGCACCGTGCAGTGCCAGGCATCCCTGCCGCCTTCCTCCTGCCCCGGCGTAGGGCCTCTCTGCCCTGCACAACAGATCCTGCCTCACCAAGGCGTTTCCTGCTGCCTTCACCCTTTATCCATAGGCAGGTTTCAGGGGGGACAAGCAGGGCCAGGACGCTCCCTCCAACACCCCCATCCCACAGGGGACAAAGCTCTCCCTGCATATGAGACTATCACCCCATCCCTGCCCTATCTCTTAAGGGTCAGCTCCAAAATTGCGCACACATTCTCTGTCATTGTGGGTAATTCCTCGAAGCCGTCTGCCCAGGCTTGGCCCCTTGCCCTGTGGCCTGGCTCTTGGCACCTGCACTGCAGACATTGGAGCTCTGCAAACGTTAAGGCTGAATTTGCAGCCAGATCCCAGCATCAATTATGTCTGTCACATGGGGCTCTGACACTGAGTGCTCCACATCTCTTATTCTGTTACTGCAGTATTACCACATTTTCTTGTTACAGGGAAACATTCATGATTTATAGTAAAGCAAATGTGAGATTGTTCTATTACATGGCTATTAAATGATCTGTGGTCTCTAAATCAAGCCGTTTCCTTCTAACTACTGAAACATCTGCCTTATGTCATACCTGAAGGACATGGTTATTTCACACCTAAGTAATGCCTTGTCATTTTCAAGGCCAATTTTTGCCAGGTTCTCTAGCATTTGTGACTGTAGCTCCAAGCTGCTTGCAAACTTTCTGAATAGTTGAGGTATTCTTCAACAAATATTGTGGAAATAGGCGATATACAATATTTCCTGCAGTGGGTGAAAGGATTACACACAGTAATCTTCTTAAATAGCCCTGATGTTGTGTGAAAAGGGGGATTCCGGGAACAGCCTTTCAATTGGGGGGAGGGGAGAAGCAACTGGATTAAACAGCACCATAATTGAAATTGCTTTAGCGACCGCACAGCAGTGTTTTCCTTCATGACCCTCAGGGTCTGCTTTAACTGTTGTAATACTTAGGAGTCTTTTGATCAATGTGCATGTGTAGCAGTTGAGTAATTTCTCTGGCTTCAATCAGTGAAAAAGGATGGAAGTCTGTCTTCAAAGAGAGTATTCCTATTGTTTGAGCTTTTAAAATGTTCCTATAGACTGGTAAAGCAGGGACATGTCTTTATATTTGTGGGCTATCTAGTCAAATCTGAACCAATATGTGAGAGCTTTCTGTTAGGGGAAAGGTTTGCAGTGGTGTGGTGAGAGGGTTTTATTCAACCAGCAGGTAGAGCTGGGGTGTGGAAGAGAGTTACAGACAGGGTAACAGGGATAACCCATTTTTAAAGAGTGTTTTGTTTATGCGGACTGCAGGCAGAGGGAAGGGGGCTGAAGGCATGGAGGTTCAGAGCAGCAAGGGTAGGGCTGTCCCTGGGTAGAGTCACCCCGAGTCCCTCCCTCCCTCCTGTCATGGCTTGGTGCAGCAGCAGAGGTTTTAATCTGTTCTGCATCGGAGCAGAGGTCTTAATCTGTTCTGCAGTGGCATCCGTGCACATCCTGGGGCTTTTCACTTGGTGCCCCAATGGTCTCCTTGAACCCTTTTCCATTGCCCAGTCCTACCTCAGAGGCACAGCTCCATGCACCTCTCTTGCTGCAGGAGATGGTCAGGGCAGCACAGGTCATGGCAGAGGCCCTGAGAATGGCCTGTAAATGTCCCGCAAGGCGGGATTTGTCCAGCTAACTTGACTGTGAGATGCCCCCTGCTGCATTCAGGATGATCTGGCACTGCTTCTCCAAGGGTCTCTGCTCAGACTGGGCGCTCTGCATCAGGCTCACCACAGTTCCCTGCTCCTTGGGCAGCTCCATGTTTCGTGGCTGCCTCTGCACTGTGTACAAGGAAGGTTACACAGGACATGAAGGAGGGAACAGAATGGGAATGAGGACAGGGACAAGATGGGGATGAGGTTAGGGAGGGGATGAGGACAGGGAGAGGATGGGGATGATGTGGCAGGGCAAAGCTTGTTCTCTGGGAGAGGAGCTGGAAGCAATTGCAAAGGTCTGGCTGTGGGAGGGGGTGCAGGAGAGCTGACGTTGGCAGTGGCCACTGCAGGGCTTTGCAGGCAGGGCTGCACTGTCACTTAAATGCAAACTGCTTACTCATTCCTGCTTGAAATCACACTCCTCCAGTGGCACAGTGGGGCGGCCGGCAGTTGGAAATCATCTGATTGGGAAGATCCCTATAGGAGTGGGTTTCACTGCTTCAGGCTGCTGCTTAGATACTTAGATGCATGTAGAAAACCAGGCTGCTTCTTTTCTGACAAAAAAATAAAATAAAATTAGGCCCCTTTGTTAGCAGGAGATCTGCCTTGGATGCCTCCACATTACAGTAGAACTGGATGTGGCAGCCATGGCAGTGTAAAGCTATGGGATGAATGCTAGCAGGATGTCCTCATCCAGCTGAGCACCGTGGCTCTGGCAGAGCAGGCCCCTGACTCTGCAACACCCCCAAATCCCTGTGTTAAGGGCACCCCAGCCTGGGGCTCTGAGGCATTTTCCAGGAAAGATGTCAGACTTACCCTCCCAGAGCCAGCTCTTCTCTCCTGCCCTGGCAGCACCACCTCTCCTTCCACCACCCAGACATGTGTCCCAGCCCTTTTTAAGCCCCCAGACGCAGACTTCAGCCCTTCTCCAGGCACCCTCTCCAGCCGTGGGCTGCTGCAGTGCTGGGTGCTCTTGCTTGTTCTGCTGAGCCACTGCCCCTGCTTTGGTAATCTTTGAGCCCAAAACTTCCTGTCCCTCCCCAGCAGCTCTTCCCTCTGTGGCAGCCTGCCTTATCCCCTGCAGGACTGGGGGCTCCACCGCAGTGTGCTATTTGCAACCCCCAATCTCATAGACCCTGCTGCAGATGGAAACTATATAAATCCATCACTGTTTAAAGCCTCCCCTCACCATGCACACTCACAAGCCATGCCCAGTGCTCTGCCTGCTTCTTCATCCCTGTTAGCATGAGATTTCATAGTCCCAAACTCCCAGTGGGATGTGCCATTGTGGACCAACTGCCCATTGCAGCTTCCCTGTCCCTGCAATGGGCAGAAAACCTGTGGGAGAGGTCCCTGCTCTGAAACACAGTGCCCTTGCCTTTGCAGGACACCATCGGGCAGCTGGAGGACGACCTGCGAAACACCAAAAACGAGATGGCTCGGCACTTGAGGGAGTACCAAGACCTGCTTAACATCAAGATGGCCCTTGATATCGAGATAGCTGCCTACAGGTAAGACTGCTTTGACCCTGCTCTGCCTGGCCACCTCCTAAGCCCAATCTCCTGACCCTATCAGGCTGGAAAGATATTTTCAAGGACCCGGAAAATATCTGGGTACACACTTAAGGAGCAACACCATTGTGTTGCTCATCTTTCCTGCCTGGACCTGCTGTGCTCCTGCCTGGGGAACAGCCATAGCTCCATGTCATGCCTCAATCTAGCTGCTGTGAACAGATCACCAGCTGCCCCAGAAGCTGTGGTTTTTAGTGGGTACGGGTGGGGTTGGAAACTTGTCTCCCTTGCAAAGGCAAAGTCGATGCAAAAGGCAGAGTCCCTCTGGTTCAGGGTTTTATTTTCTTGGTGTTTCTGAAGGGAGGGGAAGGAGCTTGTCTCATGTACCCCATATTGCGAGTGCTCCAAAAACAATTGACCAAAGAATGTGATTTTGAACCAGTTTCATGGTGCAGTGCGACCTGCGCCTGTCCACCACAGGCTGGGGTGGTGGCCTGGAGCACTGGAACTTGCTCACAGGTCTCAGAATGCCCTCAAACTTTGCAGATGTTTCATGTGAAATGTCCCTAGACTAACCTCTTCCCTTGTGATGTGCTTGCAGGAAGCTGCTGGAGGGAGAGGAGACCCTCTTCAGCACAGGAAGCGTCGGCCTTTCAGCGCTCAATCCTCTCCCCAACCCTTCTTACTCCCTCCAGCCAAAAGGCTTTAGTTCCTCTACTCTGTCCTTCAAGGAGGAGGAACAAGGAAAGGTTATTAAAGTGACCTCTAAAATATCATCCAGCAGGGCTGAGATGATTGAGGGGACCATAACCTCTGACAAGAAAAGAGGGAGATTAAACTTGCATGAAGGATTTGTTGTGAATGCAAAAATGTAACTGTCAGGACCCTGCCCATTTTGCATTTGAGGGGGAACAGTCTCCACTCGGCCTCTAAATTGCCCTCTGGGTACAAAGCCACACTGGGCTCGTGGGAAGCCCCCCTTGGAAACACATAATCCCCCAGGGACACCGACTGGGGCTGGCTTCCTCACGGGTCCTGCCCTGCAGAGGCCGAGCTTGGCACATTGCTCCCTTTTAAATGGGGTGTAGGCACAGGCAGGTAGCTAGATGCATGTTGGTCGTTGTTGAGGTGGCACAGTGGACTCGTAGCACCCACCATCCCTCCCTCCCTCCTCCTGCTGTGGGTGAGGGGGAGCCAGCTGGGACTGCTGCTCAGGTGGCTCTCCACGGAGGGGTGGGGTGGGGCAAGGGAAACAACTCAACATGTTTACTATAACTAGTTTCAAGGCTACAGACCTTCATCTACTATCTAAATCCATGTATAGCTTAACTCTTACCCACTCAAGCAGTAGCCATCCACTTTTAATCCCAGAAGCACAGAAATAGCCATACTGGACTGTAACCACACCTGACATCTGGTCTATGAGCCATGTATGTTTTACACTATAAGGAATGGGTTTTTTTTTGTCCTGACAACTCTGTCTGGTTTTTGGCAGTGTTAGTCCAGCCAGGCACACAGGGTTTGCTAGCAGCAGACACAGGGCAGGGATCTGGTGCATCAGAGGCTGTGGGGCACAGCACCTCATCTGGTGTTGCTGGCTCCAAAATATCAGGGTCCGCAGGGCCCCCTGTTTGGCTGCACAGTTGCCAGATGAAAACCCTGTGCTCAAATTAGCATTGTGCCCAGCCGGCCATGGGAAGCTGCAGAACTCCCAAACACCAGCCCGCAAAGCATTATTGTCTCTGCTCTAACCATTCCAACACGTGCCAAATTTGATATAGGATTTACAACCATAGGTTTCCTTCAATGCCTTAAAATTGCCAGCAACCGCTTTTGCAAGAGCCGGAAACTCTGCGTGTGCGTGTGTTGCGTGTCAATGCCCTGGCAAGGTTATCATCATGGGACCTTACTGCCCTTGTGGTGGTGCCAGAGTGGTTTCTGCAACCAGCAAATTGTTTGCTCACACTCTTTCCTCTTCTATTGTAAGGCACAAGTTATTAATTAAAAAGAAAGAAATAGTTATGTGGATCAAACTGAGCTGTTTTGTCATCTTTGTTGCTGCTTCAAATCAGGAACATGCCTTAGTGTCTGGCCTGCAGCTGATTTGGTCCCCAGCAGTCCCTCTGGTCTCCTGCAAAGAGCCTGGTGTTGGGGTGCCACTACTGAACTCTGCTGTTGGGGCTGCAAGGCAAGAGTGGTCCTACCGATGGCAGTGGGGCATGTCTGGGTCTCACCCCCAGGTGCCTGGCACGGTGGCCCTGCTTTGTAGAAGAGTTCATGGCTGGCTGGCCACGGGAACAAGGTCTCTCATGGCTGAGCCTCCCTCATTTGACCAGAAAACAGACTCGGGCTTTGATTTGCATCACACCCCTGACAGCTTGGTCCCAAGATAGCTGCCATTTCTCCTCCCCCCTGCCTGCATGCTCAGGGGTTAAAAATAGCCTCTTTGCCTTCACAAGTGAAGATAAAGCAATTTACACAATTGCTGATGGAAGACGGGAGGGTGCACCCACCTCCCAAGTAACCCCAGTAGTCAGTGCCCGCAGAGCCAGCGTGACCAGCGCTGGCTTTACACTCGGAAGGTGCCCACCCTCTGCCTGCGATGTGCCTGTAGAAGGGTACTCAGGAGGGCAGCGGGGCATGGAAAGAGCATGGGCAGGCTACCCCCTGGGTGGCCCCACCAGCAGCATGTGTCCTATTGCCTTATCACACCACACCATGGCAATCTGCTCCAGAGCCCCAGGGACATGGTGTGTGTCACAGGCTGCTCCACTAGTGCTGCAGGCCAGGAGCAGCGCGGCCACTTCCCTTGACCCTGCCATACCGATAACCTCAGGGACGATGCCCTAGCAAGGCCACTCACCGTGGGGTGACGCAGCCCCAGGGAGGGCAAAGCAAAGGGCACCTTTCAGAGGCAGGGGAGGGGGCTCAGGGCATGGCTAGGGCAGCACATCCCACCAACAGCCCCCAGCAAAACAGCACAGAGCAACTTGGAGTGCCTAGGCAGAGCTTGGGGGAGCCAGCACCTGCAGAGTTAAGTCCAGGGCACTGGTGTATAAAGCAAGGACCAACCTCCAAATACCTGGCTCAGCTGTCAGTTAGGAAGTGCAAACACAGAGCTTTTCTCATAAACCACAGGGGGAATAAAAGGCAGATGTGACTGTGCAGCTAATATAATATATTCTGAACCTCAGATACCCTCCAGTTCTGCTTTCTGTCCCTTGAGTATTAAGCAGCCTGACCTGTCCTTTATTCCCAGCAAAGGCTCTGTCAGGATTCTTGCTTGCTCAGCTGGCTGGATGTTAGCAACAAAGCTGGGAATTTTACTTTGGTGATACCAGTGTGGAGGAGCTGCAGTCATGGAGGGCAAAGAAGCCAGGGGAGGAAGAGGTGCTGTTTTGGAAAATGGCTGCTTTGCAAGGGCTGGCTCCAGAGATTTCCTGCATTTTTGGAGCCCTGCAGCATTTTGGTGCTGTCTCATGGTGTTAAGCTCCAAAGGTAATGGGGGGGGCAGCAGGCAGTGAAAGAAGCTGCTCATTTAGGATACACCAGAAAGGATCAGGCTGGATTTTAGATTACATCATGGTTTTGACATCCCCTCTGCTGGGCAATGTCCCTGTGATCTTACAGGATCTGGGGTGCCAAGCTTTAATTACCCTGGTAGCAGCTGACCAACCTCACAGACGCTCTCCCAGGACTGAGGGTGAGTGAGAGCCCTTGCAGGATGGGGACACATCACTTTCCTGAAGGACAGAGCCCAACCACAGGTGCTGTGCAGCAAGGGAAGAGCTCCCAAGGGAGGAGCTCCCAAGGGGGGCCAAGGCTGCCGCCAGATCTGCAGCCTCCCAGCTACACCTGTCCAGCTTCTGGCCTCAATACCTGTGCTGTGGGAACCTGGCATCCCAGTGCAGATGCAGCCCCTGGGGACAGGTTGCTCTGGGCATTTCCCATGATTCAGCCTGTTTTGGCTGCAGAATCAGAGAAGGGACTGCTTAATGCCCGACTAAGGCACACTGACCCCATCTGCTCAACTTCTGTGGGCCCCAGGGTGGCTGCTGCCATTGGGTGAGAAGGCCGACCTCATCACTGAACACGTAATGTGTGGCCTCTTCTTACCTTAAGTGAGGCCCATGCCCACACTCTCCTCATCTCTAGAACAATAATGACAACAGAGAGAGACAGGCCCAGCTTAGCACATTACCAACACTTACCTCTGGCTATCCCCACCCAGGCCTCTTTTTCTATAGCTATCTTCTTCAGGGTGACTCCTTTCATTTGCCTGCTTATACCAGAAGGTGTCTATAGTGGAGCACTAATCTGGACCAGGGCAATAAATCCTCCTTTGTGGTCCCATCTTTCTTACTGGGTTAAACACCAAGGCTGCCAGAGGAAAGGAGTGAGTCACATTGCAGATGTTCCTTCAGTGATGAGGTCGGCCTTCTCACCGAACAGTGAACACTGTTCCTTCACTGTTCTGACCTCTGCAGAACCTCAACCTCTCAGATAAAAGGCACCTGCAGACACAGACTGCACCATCCATTTGGGACAAAGAAGAGTGTGGCCATTTCTCCATGATACTGTGTTGCTTTCATCTTTATGCTGGAGGAAACTCCAGCCTCCACACAGGGGTGCAAACTCCCACCACAGGACTGGCTGGTTGTTTTTTTCCCTGGATGGAGATGCTGGCCCATGCAGCTGTGCTTTGGGGCTGCCTGGCTCTGCTTGTTTCGTTGTCATGTAGGTGAGATGGGACAGTCTGTGCAGCCTGGGATGTTGGCTGCAGCGGGCCTATGTCATGCTCCTGCTGCTCCAGTGACAGAAGAGCTTTGTTCCAATCATGATCCTTCAGCTCCACTGGAGGTTCCTGCAACAATTGTCCTGAGATGTACAGCTCCTTAAAAAGAAAGTCGCTGCACACAGAGTTTTGCTAATGACACTTGTCCAGATGCTGGAATTCATTAGAGTAAGCCAAAGAAAAAGCAGACAAATCAGAAACATCCTCAACATTATCCTTCGGCAGGAATGCAAACATCTCTTTTTCCAGACTGAGGAAGAACCTTGTCATTCAACAAGAAACAATCAATAGGCAATTCAGAGCCATCTCTTCCAGCACCTGTGGCTGGATCCATTGAGCTCTCTCCGTGCCAGCTCTCAACACAAGACACCTCCTCGAGGGGAAGAGCTTCTTCCCCCAGTGAGTGACCCACTATCATGATTTAACCCCAGCTGCCACCTAAACCCCACCCAGCTGCTCGCTCACTCCCCCCTGGAAGGCTGGGGGAGAGAATAATAGTGAGAAAACTTGTGAGTCGAGATAGGGTTTAATAGGTAAATTAAAAGTCGTGTGCAAACAAAGCAAAATAAGGAACTAATTTACCACTTCCCATCGGCAGGCAGGTGTTCAGCCATCTCCAGGACAGCCGGGCTCCATCATGTGTAATGTTTACTCGGAAAGACAAATGCCATCACTCCAAACATCCCCCCTTTCTTTCTCCTCCCCCCAGCTTCATATGCTGAGCATGATGCCATATGGTCTGGGATACCACTTGGTCAGTTGGGGTCAGCTGTCTCAGCTGTCCCCTCTCACAACTCCTTGTGCACCCCCCAGCCTACTCGCTGGTGGGGTGGGGTGAGGAGCAGAAAAGGCCTTGACTCTGTTTAAGTGCTGCTTAGCAATAACCAAAACACCCCTGTATTATCAACACTGTTTTCAGCACAAATCCAAAACACAGCCCCATACTAGCTGCTATGAAGAGCATGAACTCTATCCCAGCCAAAACCAGCACACCCACACAGAGCCCAACGCCAGCGGCTGAGCAGACGCATCTGAATGATCAGTGGGGTCTGACACTTTAAAGCAAATTTTCTATCAAAATATCATAAGCAATGCCAGCTCATTCATACAAGTCTTCGCAGGCATATGGAGCAAATATCACTTGGCAAATGCAGCATAACACACAAACAGGGCACTGCTTTGGAGGTGGTGGGGGAACACTTGACCCTCAGCAGATTCCAGCTGAACCAAAAGGGCTGCAGAGAGCTGAGGTCTACAATTACGGTGATATGGGGGGATGCACTCCTGCAGCTTGTGCAGGGGTCTTTCTCCAAAACCGAGCTAAACCTGAGAGGAACCTGCAACTCTGCGATAAACTATATCCTGTCAAAGCAAGTTGAACTGCAAAGACACTGTGCTGCCCAGAACAGACTGCTCTGTTGGAGCTCAGCTCTGTCCACCATCACACAAAGAAGGAACAGTGTTCACACTAAAGACATACCTGCTTAGATGGATAGGAAATACCCAGAAAAGTTCAGAGCACAATTCCAGAGGCCCAAGCACACATCCACTTGCTGCTCGTACTTGGGAGCAAAGCTCTTGGGGTGCTGTGAGCATCAGCTCTGACCCAACGGAGGCAGCAGAGTCTGTTCCTACCGCAGCAGGGCCAGCTCAGCTCCTCTGCCTTTGTGGAGAGTGGCAGCAGATGGCTGTCTGCATCCCAGAGAGCACAGACAACAGGAGGTTCCTGGCTGCCCTATGCCCAGAGCAGCCTTGTAAACTGACACACACGTAGTCATCCTCTGAGATGGCCTACACGCACAGACCTGAGCAGGGTCCCTAAGAACAAGCTGTTTGGAGATGTCATTTGCAAAAGCTGAGGTCAGACTGAAAAACCCAGTTTGAACTGAGGCTTAGAACATAATTAAGTAAATTTTCAATAGAAATGCAGAAAACCCCCAAGCCCAAGATACAAGGCACCTCATTAGCAAATTCCTAGTCTAGCAAAGAGGCCCAAGAGCTCTATGAATAAGAATGCCTGGCAATGCTTGAAGACAAAATGTTTCAGCAAGCCAAAATATTCAGGCTACATTCTTAAGGAAGTAAGGATTATAGGATCATACTGTGACTGAATGTCCCCTTTACCCCCTGAACTCTTCCACAGTCATTTTTTTATGCTTATCAGCTTAAGTTCAGCCACATTCGAGAGTGCTGAAGGTCTCAAAGATACCAAATTCCTCCAAGTTTCACACAAGCAGGTGCATAAGTAAAATATACTCATTGACTGAAAAGTTGAGCTTCCCTTACTAGACACCAAAAAACCCATTCAGAGAACGGAGGTTCTGAATGCCTCAACATCAAGGCAAGCTTCATTGTGAGCTCATTTGCAACCAGAAGACAAAGCAAAAAAAACACCCAAACCACCCCAGGGTGAAACAAGCTTGGGGTTTTTTAAACTGTTTACCAACTGCTGAATCCTTTTGGTTGAACTTCTCCATAGGTAACTAAGCAATCCACTCACAGATGGAACAACCTGCAACACAACAAATTCAACCCAGATGTTTATTTCAACAAGTCAAGTCTTCAAAAGAAACACACTTGGTTGCTTTGGTAACAGGTACTGTTACCAGTCCTGTTATATGTGCATTCACAAAGGGGATCTCAATAGTAGTCTGTTAATTGCCTGCCTTCATCTATGGAGCAGTAGTGTGGAGTTTACACACACAGCATGTTACAGAAATTACTGCTCTAGGTGGACAGAGATAAGAACTCAGCTCAGGTCATACAGTAAGTCAAGGAAAGAGCTGGAAAAAGAGTGCAGGCACCCTCTGCCTTCAGCTTACCTGCTCACGCAGAGGAAGACCACCACCACTCCTGTGCTCTATGTGGTGGCACACAAATAATCTATTTTATTGCCACCAATAGGTGAAATGTTTTCCCATGACTTGTGAGGAAGAAAAAGGAGATTGCAGGTTCCTGTGAAGGGTGTTGGACTTCTCACGAGTTCCTACTTTGCGGTCCCAGGTATATGCAAGGAAGGACACACCAGTCCATCATTTAACATAAACACTTCTGTCACCACAAGCTACAGAAAAGCATGCTGCGAGCAGGGTGGTCTGAGCACATCATGGTGTCTTGGAATGACAGGCTGCCTCCCAGCACCACATAAAAAGGGCTCCAAAGCAGTTCTCCCTGGAACACACTATTTTTCTCAGTCTTTGCCAAGTCCCCACCACCCACTTTTCTACTGTTAATGTTTCCCTTAGAAGAAAACAGACATTTTAAGATTTCATTTCCAAACAGACTATTTTACCACACAACTAGAAAATACACTCTCCTTTTCACTTTGGGAAATCCCTCTTTTGCAGAGCACTGCTTCTTTGACACAAATATATTGTTGTTATACTAAATCAAAACCTAGTACAGATGGCAATACAGCTCCAGCAAGCATTTTGCAGCTGCAGAGCAGCCAATCAATACTGCATTTCACCCCAAATGGGATTACTATTTCTCTCTCAAAAACAGTAAAATTTGACCTGTTCAGTGATTAAACCTGTACCTATAGCAACTTTTCAAAATGTAAATATCTGTCGGCTCATTCAGCAAGGGTCTCTTAAAGATGACATGAATAAAATTGAACTTATGATCACCTTGCTGCTTCTCTTTGTACTGAGCTAGTTCAGGTTACAGAAAAAAAGGAGGTAGAAAAAACAAAAAGCAAAAGTGACAAGAATATGCCATTTGCAGCATCTCAGCAAGTACCTATCACAGCAGAACAATTATATTTTTAAGTATCTAAACATTCTGGCTGGCACCTGGTGCACTCTATTGAGCATATAGTATATTAGAAGATTTATGGACAACATGATCATCTTCGTTTAAAAGAAAGAGGTGTAATATATAAAAAACTCCTATATCTGTTAATAGGCTCTTTCCCAATAGCTGGAGTGAATCCTCCCTCCCCCCATTTGTATGGAGAACAAATTTCATAATAATGCTACTCCACACTAAAGAGAAGTGAAAACAGAAATGCCAGGGATGTAATTTTAATTTGTTAGCGAATGTTAGCATGCATTAACATAAATCACTGCACAGAAATGCCTGATGATTCCCTGAAAAGAAATTCAACACAGACTAGTATTAGACAAGCTTGAATGATTTTTCAATAAAACTCATTAGTTGTTTCACATCTATGGAAATAAGTGTAAAGGGTTCTCCTGGCTCATCTGTGCCACAGTCTGGTGGCAATGCAGATCAAGGCTGTTCAGAATGCAGCATTGGTGTTCAGAACATAAATGAGTTACATGTTGCCATCACAGTGCCCCTCCATTTAGAGGGCTCAGCTGTACATTTTGCTAGTCTCTTGAAGCTTATCTTCTTATTACACTAAATTTGTATGAAACAAAAAGAAAACAGGCATAATACAACCAACCTAATTCAGTGCTCATGACTTGATTGTAGCTTGATTCTGCAGTTATAAGGACTCCTGACACTAGGGCTCACTGTCTCCTCTTGCTGGAAATTAGCAGATCTGTAGAGTAATTCACAATTATGCTGCAGTAGAAGTAGTATTTAATGAAAATCTGTGTTAACCATGACACCGCTAAGTAGATAACCAGAAAACAAAACCAGAATTATTTCAAGTGATGAAACATGGTGCCTGTATAATGAATGAGTCCAAGCACACCTTCCCTCATTTCTGGAGCACGAAGCTGGCTCATCTCCCATGAAAGCAGAGATGCCATCCTACAGACAGCCTGTTGTTACAGAAGCTCTTCTATCATCAGAACCAAAAGTGACCGGAGGAAAGCCAAGGTTAAAAGGAGACCAACAGAAATAAAACAGGAGAGTTCAAAGAAGATTGGCACATTTTAAAGCAAGCAGACATTATATTTACACATGAAACCACACAGCTCACAGATGAGCCTTGGCAATAGCCAAAGGTCACCCCTGCTGCATGATGATGTGCCCCAGGGGGGACTGCAGGCGCTGGAGAGTGGGTAGAACATCAGTGCCTTCAGGGTATGCTTTAAGCTGAAAGCAAGCAGGATGTTCTGCCAGGAAAACTAAGCTAAGAATATGCTTTCTGAAGGCAGGTGAGGAAGAAATAAAGACACAAGCAGACTAATGGGAAATAAAGAGGTCACTAAGCATTCATACCAAAATATCGTAGGCAAGAGATCTTTAATCATCCTCATTAAGCCACTGAAAGAATTCGGAAGCCTTGGCCTCCTACATTTTAGCTGGCATGTGATTTACCCTACAGAAAAACTCTCTTTAAAGAGACATCCAGAAGCAATTTTTTAAAAATAAAACCAGAAACTGACACTGACATCAGAGCCAGTGGCAGTATAGTCATATTGAGGCTATGCAAGCCAGCAGTATCCTAGAATGACATTAATTTGAATTAACTATCAACTTCTATACAGCTCTTCAACTTTGCAGATAAATCCATCTGTAGACGTGAAGTTCAAGCCTGGATTAGGGGAGAACTTGCAATGTAAAATGTAACTATACTGCTAACCTTTTTGGTTTTTTTTAAGGATAGAGTTACTCATAGAAGACAAAATCATGAGTGATAGGGACCCAGGAAGTGGCAGTATGAAGTACGAGCCAGATGCCTTGCATAAAGCCAGGACGATAAGAATGGTAAAGAAAGATCAAGGTGACTTAATAACAACCACCATAAACACGAATGAAAATAATCTAGAGGCTGGTTAGACAGAAAGATGTACATATTGACAAAATAAGGGGTCCTGTAACTACATCAGATTATTTCTCCTGTATCTGTGTTGAAAAATCTTTACTGAGCTATTTCTCACTGCAATTGTCATTGAAAGGAGAATCACAGAAATTCCATGTTACTCCAGCTAATGATACCGCAGTTAGCTCCAGTGGAGATTCTGGTATTACATTACCCTTCACCATTCAACCTCCTAATTGAAGTGTATCATTCTAATAACCCCAGAGCACATCCAGCAGTTTCAATATTAATTGCTATAATTTTGAGGCTAACATAGGAAGCAAGGCATGAGAGCTCAATTTTAAATTGACTAAAATAAAGTTTATTTCACTGTTACAATATATAATCTCTTATCAACACAACTCACAAAGTGTTTACAAAATAATCTCATTTTCTGCTGCATTTTAAACACTACTTTTATACAAACTTTAAAGGTAAAATAGGAATTTGTAGCTAGAAATGTTTTTGTTACTTTTTTAAAAGCATCACAAGAATTATTTCAAACAAGACTTTTTTTTTTCTTATAGTGTCACATTCACAGACAAAACTGTGTTTATTGTAAAGACCTGAGGAGGAATTCATGACAAAGAATGCCAGTCCTCTTAAGCTGACAGCAAGCAAGTGCATTTGAGCTAGATTAGGTGCTCTGAAACACCTTACAAAGAAATCTCCCTTTCCCTACAGTGACTACAAGGAAGGAGGGAGACTGGTGCACAAGCATGGCGTTCATGAATCCCCATACTGATGACCTAGTATGAAGCAAGAACATAAAACACAAAGCTCTGGTCCTTAATTCTGTGCAAGAAACCATGGAAATCTTAAACATAACAAAATTTGAAGTATTACAGTTGTCACAAAACCTAGTATTTCAATACGTTTAAGTTATCTAATGTCCTCTGTGAATCTGGTAGTAACAGGCAAGTATTACATGAGTCAACCCTGGTCTCCGCTACAATGCAGTAATACACATTAGAAAGAGTGGGAAAAGGTACCATTTTCATGGCTGCTAGAAATATATGTGCTAAAGTGAAAGGATTTATGCTCCTGCCAGTCAAGTCAGTTGACAGATTTTACATGACAGCAGAATCAGGCTGACAGTGATTATTTTACATACAGCAAGAAGGTAGAAAGAGGTGCCACTTTTTTTTTCATGCATAGTTTAACCAGCTTACAGCCAGCTCATCTCCGTTAAGACCAGAGATGCACGATCCACCATTTGGTATAAGACAAACTACCAGCAACTATATTTCCAGTGCAAACAAAATTGTCTTTCTTTGAGAAAGACAACTAAATTTAATGCTACTCCTGAAAAACCAATGTTTACGATGCATCATTTTCTACCTATTTTGGTCTGTATTTCTAAAGTTCCCTTCCTCTCCCCAAATCACATCCAAAGACAGATGATCACAGTACACTTTTTCAGGCAAATGACTGTCTCCTCCCCAGAATAAATTATACTGCCCACTGAAGATCATCCCTGAGAGCACTGTACTAGCTAGACACTTCAAAAGCAAGTAATATCTCATAGCTTGGAGGAAGAAAAAGGCTGTTCATAGCGTGAGATCTTGTGGTTTTAGAAAGAAAAAACACACAGCTACTCTGAGCATTTAAATTCCCTGAGCTGAGTGAAATTGGAAGATAGTAATTTGTAACACAAAGCATAGTAACATCTATAGCTGTACTTAAAGAAGCTGTAATTTTTTACAGTGGTAAAGTCAGACATTAAATTACAAGCATACAGCAGTTAGTGGTGGTTCCTTTTACTTGCTTCCTGTCACAGGAAATACGATGGCCTTCTTTGGTGAAAACAGCAGTGAAGAAGCTTGATGACTTCAGATTCTTTTGCCTTCTGATATCGTAGCAATCTTTAAGCCACAGGTAGTGGCGATACTACCAGGCCATAGTGCAGTACAAGTAAACCATCCTAGAGAGTAGAGAAAGAAACTGTATCATCATACCCCTTCACCTTCTCTGTGAGACGTTTCTGTCACCACCTAGTATGACAGTCACTGCATGGCAGTACCTCAGCTTCAGTTTCACTCACCATTTTATACCATGTCCCTTCCATATGGTGAATGCAGGTTTTGAAATAACAAGGCAAATAATTATTTCTCCCTCTCTTCTTTGAGATAGAGCAGAGTGGTAAAAAAAAGTATAGTATTTGCTTTTATTTTAAAGTTACAGAATTTTCATCTTCATACAATAGGCTCTTGTTTATAACTCATGCTGTTTTCCACATAATACTGTGGGACAGAAAAAGTAATGAAGTAATTCTAGAAGGTGTTGCCAAAAGCTGTACTGTAAGAGTCCAGACTACCACTACATATTTATCAAATAACGAACATATATTTAAAAAAAAAAACCAAAACAACCCAACAACAAAAGCCCTCTATTAGTTTATTAAGTTATGTTTTTCCTCTTCTGAGACTGCTCCACATAAAAAACCTTTTACCTACGAAACAGGACACTTTCTGACTCATCACTCTTGCGTCATTTAATTCACACACAGCTGGTGGAAAGTCTAGCACTTAGTCTGCTTCCACCACTGATCCATCGTGAATCTGACTTGTTGCATTAGACCTATAGATACGGACAGGCTTCAATAACAGTGTTCTTTTGAAGAGAGAACTACATTAATCACAACTGACAGGTTAGAACTTCTACCATATTTTGCTTCTGATGTTTTTGTCTGCTAACATACAGGATGTAAGATAATGTTATATTCCAGAGAAGTTACACAGTTCTGCGCGAGAGGGTATAACAGCACATTAAAGTTAATTACAAAACCAAACAATAACAAGACTTTTATCCTTTACAGGCTCTTTATTCTAATACAGTAACAACAGGAAGTACTCTATTAGTATAAACAGAGTTTTGGAAAAATATAGATTTTTTTATTTTTTTTTTTTTAAAACCCATCATTTGTTATCTGTGTAGAAATGCTTTTCACTGCTTGGTGTAGCTTCAACTACTCAAAAAAAAAATCCGAGCCATTTTACATTGGAGGAAATTTAAGATTAAGAAATTGACCTCAAAAAGACTCAAGAGGACAGAATGTGCTCCTCCACACCTCTGTGATATGCTGCTCTTCTTTCCTTGGGAATTCTTTTCAGATGGTGCCTAGCAACACTTCTGTGTTCTGTCTGGAAGATGACCTCTTATCAGAAAAACAGCCTTGTTTTGCCTCTAATGCCACAAAGGTCTTTCAGCAGAAAACCACCCTAACTGCTGTTGTGTATAATTATTTCACTCTCTTCTACCATTAGTTTCTTTAACTTTGGAGCTAAATGCTGCCACTGGAAATAAAGCTACTGTTCTTGGGGAAGATAAGTGCAGTATGTTATTCTCAATGGAAAAAGAAAGTTGAAGAGCTATGGGAGTTTTCAAATGTGATCATGAAAGAAAACAGATTCCTAATAAAGGAGAACAGATCTGCAACAGCAGTACTTTGATCAAATTAGCCAACATCCTCATTTAGTAAGATCTGAAACTCTGCTTTTGGCTACAGATTTTGTCATTTATTTAAAGAGGAGAACAATATTCTAAGTCAGGAAAAGGCGCCACCAAAAAAGGCGGCAAATAAAAGAAAAGCTTAAAAATTTAAGGTCCTAAGAGTGGCCATACCAGGGCAGACCAAAGGACTACCTAGCCCCATGCTGAAAGCCTAATTAAAAGTACAGGAGAAGGGCAAGTATGCTACTTCCCTATATAATTTTCTGATTCCAAAAAGCTTTTCTCGGGAAGTTCCTGAGCCCCAAGTCAAAGTAGCTTTGTATCAAGTACCTTCTGATGATTTTTCTTTATGAACTTCATGTGTTGCTTTTGAATCTACTAACTTCTGGCATCCACAAGTCAAAGCTAAGGGAAAATCAAACCCAAATGCTTTGTATCACTGGACATGGTGATGTCAGCCCTAAGATCAAGGCTGAAGACCCAAAAAAAGGGTTTAACAGGCAGGCACTGAGAAAAGTGGATCAAAATGTTCTTTTATAAGAACCATCAAAACCAACCAGAAGGGTCATATTGGAAAAGAAGGATGGCACATTAAAACACCTACAGCAGAGACGATGTTCAGGCTACAGCAAATGTACGTGTCCCCTAACTTTCATTTAAATGATTCTTACAACGACATGAGAGCCTAGTATAGGGTAGATGCCAATCAACCTTATCTTCAATGGATAGGAATAAAAAACCCATTTTATTTTTATGTTATTAGTGCCAGCTCACTCACCTGCCTTCACCTTCTCACCCTGTTAATAACCAGAAATCCATTGCTAATTCCTAAAAGGACAGACTAGAGCTTTAACTCATGTACTCAGTCCCTAGCATAAAGCAGGATGACTGCATTGCAATACGAAGACAGGATCCTGATTTGTTCTCACTTCTTGTTAGGTAGCATGGGTACTGTGAAGTTACTCACGAACCTTGCAGCACATAGTATGTTGTTATACCTTCACAAAGGTATGCTTACTTCTTGTGCCTGTTAGCTACTTCAGTAGAAAAAGAAAGATGCATTCAGGCTTCCTTTTTTTGAGAACTGTGGTCAAAAAACAGTTTTTTCTTCTATGTCAGAGTTTCTCAAAGGAAAAGAATATTTACACAGGAAGAAACTGCTACAATGTATTCTTTGATGAATGAGTTTTTAAATGGTACCTTTGGCAGTAGGACATTTAAAGAAATTATCTATCTACACAGGAAATATCCCTGCTGAACCAAAGGCTAAACCCACTGCAATCCTTTCTGTATAAAGAGAAGCTGAGAATTAACCCTGTACTGGCACTGCTTACTCTATAATTATTCACTTTTAAAGTATTATACATTTCTATATATGTTCAGCTGCTTTCTCTAGATAGTGTTCTTAAAAGGAAATCCAAACAGAGAATGAGCTCTCACCGCTTATTACAAATCTCAAACCAGGCTAACTCAGATACGCCCAAAAGGAAAGCAAAACTCTCCAAGTGTTCTTTGCCACACATTTGTGAACCTGACCTAAAAAAAAAAAAAAAAGAATAAAAAAAAAAAGAATTAAAAAAAAGGGAAAGGATTCCACCTGTTATACCCAACTATAAACTTTAGAGCAGAACGGAAAGACCTAAACATCCCATACATACAACTTTGGATATTGCAAGAGCAGCAGCAACAAGAAATGGCCCACTTTCCAAATTCAATATTCCCACAGCAAAGTGTAAAACACTTCCACAGCAGATGTGGGCTAGAGGGTCACAGTAATTAAATTAGATTACAGCTCTTACTGCCCAGCTCAGGAGACTAAAAAATACAATAGCATTGGGTTACAAAAAGGTGAGTTACAAAGGCACCGTTATAATCTGCAAAACCTCTGTGCCAAGGGCCAAGGACATAAAGGAAATACTCTTTTTAGCTTTTCCCATGTGTGAGCTCATTATATCCACCAGTGATGTAGGGCTCAGAGAGCCAGCTTCAGACAAGCCAAAACTAGCAGCTGGGATCATGTTGCATTTGTGCAGTAGAGGGGAGAAAGGTAATACAGTGAAGAAATTATATTCCCATATAGTTAACAACAAGCTTCCTTCCTCAGCTATTTGATCAAACTCTTAATTACAGGCAAATCTCAATGCTTGATAACCAAGTTGAGCTTTTTAAAAATGTCTGTGAGTGTCATTGATCTCTCCTTTCATTAAATTCTACAAGTTTAACAGTATTTTAAAAATCAAGCAAAATTACTTTTTTATATAAATTTTGTGCAGCAACTTCTTTGTTTTTTCCCTAAACAGAGCTAGAAATCCTATCTTCAGCTAATTAGAAAGATTCAACCAACCACTCAATTTCAGAAAAGTTAAAATATCTCGAGGTCTACAAAATTTAACAAGATTTATTCCAGATTTATTTTAGCCTTCTACCAACTACTCAGAAATTAACATGTTAATTGTTTACATTCAACCAATAAAATTAGCTACCTACTTATTCCAATTAAGAAAACCCAAACAGGTTACTATGGGGCCAGTATCAGGAATATTTATTTCACCATCAGATCACACTTGATCTTCCCATGCTTGTTGGAAAGGCACATAGTTACTCAGAACAGCTAAAATCCTGCTAGCTTGCACCCACAGGCTTTAATTTACTAAGGCTCTAAGGCATCACTACACATTGTTACTCAGTAAGGAAAAAATCCCAACACCCAAAATTTTCACAAAACAATCGTACACAACATATGTTACAGTGCACTGCATTGAAAGAAATTTCCAATGTAAATACTGCGGAAGGATGCATGTTAAAATTAATGCCTTTGGCAAAGAGAAACTTATCTGCATTTTTAGAATCACTTTTCTCAGCAAAAAGGGTAACTGCTGACATGAATGAACTCACAAGTGAAAAATGCAATTCAGAAGAGCACTTATTTTTCTCCTCTAACAGTGCCTGTACTCATCTAAATAAAAAACTCCAATATTCCTTTAAATGACTTTGCATTGCATAAGTATCTACTGAATCTATTTTCTTAGCATGGAGCATCTAGAATGAATCTCAAACTGGTAAATGACAGCAGCAGTTCTGAAGTGTTTCAGCATCCTAGTGAGAGCTGTTAGAGGCATCCCAAGCTCCAGCACTTGTTTGGAAAGGCTGGAAGGTTATAATGACACAAGATACCCTTGGAGTTTAATGTAAATCTATCAAGTGTTCCTCTGTAGTTGCACTCTCACTGGGCCAGGACAATCACTCCCCTCATAATGAATTTCAGGCCTTGGTGAAAAAGAAACAACCCTTACAATTTTTAGACTTGATCTATTTTTATTTTCTGGATAATTATCTAAAAACATTTTCCAAAGTTTTTTAATCCTAGAAATGCATCCTCTTGATTTCTGAAAAATAATATGAGACTATAAAACATGAAAATGTCACAATCACTTCAATATCAAAAAAGGAGCAACTGTGGTTTATTGTCAACGTTTCTACTGTAACTATTTGGCATCCTAAGAAGTTTTGTACCAAAATGAAGAAAAATTAAGGAAGTGACTATGAAAGCACAAGACTTCACAAAAACCAAAGATTTTTTTCTGTTTGTTTGCCCAAGAGATAAGGCTTGTGAGAACTCATCACTAGCATACTGATTTTGTAATAATGAGACTTGAAACATCACTGGAGAATGTATCCTGAGACAACTGTCCTCTTTGAGGAGCTGCTGACTGGTACTTAGCCACTAAACATCAATCAGGCAGACCCAATTCTGACAAGAAATGAAACCGATGCAGTTTTCCTTAAAGTGCTTCCCCAAGAGCATTTTTCATACAACAAAAGCTTTCATGCTAAGATGAAGTCTAAAAGCAGGTACCTTGGACTAGAACCCTGGACTGAGAAATAAGTCATGCTCCTGCTACTCACTAAAGCTTTTAGTGGAGGGCACTTACACCACTCTGTGTTGATTGCTGTATTTACCTACAACAAACTCATTATGTTAGAGCAAGTTTTGTTACCAGTGCCAGCTCCTGCCTCATTTCTATCCCCTGCTCCCCAAAGTGGGTTAGGTTACATTTTCATTTTTAATTCATATTATTGTATAAACAGCTAAGATATCAAGTATGCCATTTATTCCCTTTGACCATAGAAACTGAGGTACATACCACAAGCCTCAAAGATTTTTAATGTCCGCCAACACTAGCGCAAACCACATACATCTGCCCTGACTGCAGGATCACTTAGTTACTCAAATCAGATACAGGTGATACAATGTCCAAGATATCTCAAAAATCACCTTTCCACTTCTTGCTCCTGACACAAGAGGCCCACTTGTAGCACAAAATGGCTCAGCAGGAAATCTAAACGTAAAAGACTGTGCACATGTGTGCACAAACAAGTCAAGAGAACTGAATTTGATACTATTTTAGCCCTTCTGCCATCTGCTTAGATTGCTTTCCAAATAAAATACCAATCTAAATACTATTTCTTCCCACTGTATTAGATAAAACATCAGACTTCCAAGTTTAGATTAATATACAGTTTACCATACATCATGATTTTATATCTGTATCTTACTATGTATGCACTGGGCAGACTACTTCATTGATCTTCCTGCACTTCTAAAATGGTGTGACCCTATTATAAAGATGCTTGAAAAGATTCCCAAGGAAATAAAATGCTTATTATTTGCAGAGCCTGCAGCACTTACAGCAGTAAGTTATCAACAAGAAATAGCTGGCTATACACTCACCATGTGACCAGGACTGGTATAATACACATCAAACATATTAACTGCATTGACCACTCTGTATCTTTGGTTTGTGCTTGTATGAGTGCTTATTCCCCTGACCAGTCACAAGGTTAGTCTTATTTAGGATGCTTCAGACCTTTGACTTCTCGCAGAGATGCAATCACCAGGGAGGAAAACAAGAAACATTAATTGAAAGAAAGGCTGGTATAATTTATCACTGATAAGATAGCAACTTGTTTCAGAATAGAAAAAAAACCCACAAAAACCTCATATCCAGAACATCTTCAAACCATTTAACTCATGGTATACTTCTCAACTCTATTTACAATATAAAAAATATTTTGCAGAATCTGGAGAGACTGTCTAAGTGACTTATTCAGACAAGTTGGTTCCTGGTACCTTAAGTGTTGTATTTAGAATAGAAAACCTGGAACAAAGCCCCAGCTGCCACACATACCTGTACTGCACTCTCTCCTATGGCTTGACGAATTTCCCTCAGTGTCTGGTAGTGTTCAAGCAGATGATCACCACATATTATGTCTACCTGTGAAAGAACACAAACATGGTCAAGTTCAACCTACCTTTGGACTAGCAAAGCAGTATCCAAGTCCTTTAATTTGTTTAGAAGAGTTGAATTCTACCATGTTGGGCATTAAAGCCATCTTTACCTTTGTCGTCTAAATGTATTTAGCAGGCACAGAACTACTGTACTGCCCTAATGCCACCCCATGCCTCTGACCTGGGGCTCACTTCGAACAGAGAGAACAGTTTATTGTTTCACTCCCAGTTTGGTGTGTCTGCTGAAAAAAGCTGTTTAGTAATAGCTGTGATGAATTTAATAGGAATTTAGATCACGTATTAAAACTATCCCAAAACATCCAGAGTCATTCCTCAGTTGCAAGAGAGGGCAAGTTGTGCCACTGACAGAAAACAAGCTATTGCTACCCTCATTCTTGAATAAGAAAACACACGAGCAAGTCTGTTTAACATGACTGTTCGGAAGGAAGTGTTTTAATGGAGAAGAACGGCTCAACAGCTCACTGTATGCCACTATCAGCAATTACATCACACAGTCCTCCTTCAAAATGCAGTCAAACTTCTGTGATGCAAGTGAAGGGCATACTCAGCAATTTTAAGCAATGTCCTCTACTGCAGCTAAACTATGTCAATGATGTCTGCAATTCCGGAGGAGGCACTTCTGTTAAGCAACTGCCCATAAAAACAGTAACTTTGGGGAAAAAAAGGAAATCATAACGAGGTATTCTGAATTCCTTGCCTTGACCTTGAAAAATAAGCTTCTTTGTAAAGTTACTTTGAATTTACTGTGCATAATGTAAACACAGTCTCTGACATTCCAAATCAGAGTAGTTAACACAGCACTGTTTCTCTCTCAACAGCAGCTTGGTTACATTTTCCTTATGAGCAATTTCAAGATATGGAAATGAGAGTGCTCTTGTCTGTGAATTACAATGATGAAACCTCAAAATTAAAGTTAAATGCATTGACAATAAGCTGCTCCACGGCCCTCTGCAAAGAAAATGTCTAAGCTCCACTACTGCAGTAGTCAGGAAGCATACTGCAATATCATTACATATTCTCTCGTATGGCCACTTTCCACTATAGGATGCAGTCTGTTCTTCAGCTATTCATTTCCCCTGGATTTATGCTCTTCTGCATGCTGATCCACTATCTCTCTCTTGTTCTTCATTAAAAGATTTAGGAAGATTTATGTCTCATGCTGGCAGACTGTGTTGTTCTGAAAATCAGAAACACAGGAATTCTACTCCTTAAGAGGCTCAAAAAGGGCTAATTTACTTCACCATCTGTATAGTACGAGAGCAATGTAGAATACTCTGTTCACATTAGATTGAATCTTAATGTGCAGAAGATGCAAATTGCTTAGTATTACTTACTCTGCTTTTAGCTTCTAGGAAGAAACCAGAAAGTAAAAACTAATCTGGATGTAACATTAAATATTGATCCATACACAGACCTGTATATGTTTAACATCAACATTTGATGTACTTAACCCAGAATGCAAAAGAAATATATTTCTTTTTCTTTCTGAAAGCCAGTTAGTTATTTCTGCCATTTCCCATGCATTTTAGCCTTTACAGTTATTACTGCAGGAAGACAGATGTCTGTTTTGCTTTCTAGTGAGTTTAATGACTTCTGCTTTATAAGGTTACTTTTTATACCACAAGGCACTGAAAACTCAATCCTGCTCCCACTGAAACATATAAACATAAACATTTTATATATTCTACAGAAACAGAAAAATCTAATATATTTGCCCAACAGAGGATGCAAACAGACATAGTGACAACTACTGACAGTCTTTCAAAAGAGAATCAGAATGCTTGTTTGAAAATATTCCACTGTTGATCCTGCTGCTCCTGTTTCAAATGATAGTCATTAAAGATCCAGTGTCTTCCTAATAAATTGAGAAGAGTTTTCCCCATTTACTGTGTTAAGAATGCTCTGAATACCAAATGCCTAATCTCCTCATTCCAGCACCAAGGTCTGAATTTCTGCCTGCTGATTGTTATGCTAGAATTCAATCTATAAGGACAAGAGAATAAAACATACAATGAAAAAATTCCCAGTTCAGTGTGAAAAATCAGATGCAAAATGTGTCTCAGAGGAATCCTTGTGCCATACAGGAATTAATATATTCCATTACAAAAGAGACAGCAGCAACACAAGTGCTATGAATTTACTACAGCTTGAATTGACTGGTAAAATTGAAGCCAGCTAGTACTGAGAGTTAGTGAGATGGCAGTAAATACCATTTGACTTTTTGCTGAAAGGAAATACAAAGGTGTAACTGCTGAACACTCAACCACTTCTGTTAAAATTCTTACTAAAATAAAGAAGCCTTTTCATTGTGCCATTTATTTTCTTTAGGTGGCATGTTTGTGATTAGAGCTATTCCTCTAAATGACATTATAACAGGCAACTATAAATTAATACTCACTGAGGAAGACAAAGATAAAAATGGAAAACTTACTCATGTAAGAGACATCCTGCATAAGATTCATCCCAAAGGGGGAATGTGGCCCAGAAAGCAGTAGACCTCAATCAATAGTTTCTATGCCAACCCATACTACCCAGGGAAGGACAAGCAAAACACAAAGTTTTAGAGATTAACATGAATATTTGGGCTAGCTATTCAAAAAGCTGGCAAAGCTTCCTATTCACTCTAGCTGCTTTTTACTCTTCAAAGGTGCCAGATACTTGTATTCCAGGGTCTAAGAGTGGCGTAAAGGAACTGCATCAACAGCTACACTGTATGAACACAGAATTTATTCCAATCTTTCCCCAGACTGCTGTTTACACACACACACACACACACACACACACACACACTTTCAGAGTGTCTGATTATGGAACATTTCTATTCCATAAACTCCCTTAATGCATTCAGACCAGCTGAGCTGCAAGTCTTTCACCAGTCCCTCTCATCCTCGCAGAATGAATGGCAAGAAAGGATAATGCTCTGCAGGATGACCTCAAAGGAAATAACACTTTAAAGAAAACCTCTCATTTTCTCCCCACTTTTCAGCAGAACACAAACTCTACAGATGTACATTGGATATTGAAGCCAAGTACATAATGGATTCCAAACACTATACACTGTATTTAGCTCAAATGTTACCTACTTACCTATTACTAGCAATTCCAATTGCTCAAAAATTTTCACCCCCCTCAGTAATTCCAGCAAGAATATTAAAAGAGAAACCTTGTAATTAGAAATATATATAAACAATAAACACATATAGAAAATTAATTGTTGCCCAAAGCATAGGGATCAAAACAAAGCACCAGAAAGAGTAAACTACAGTCTGTCAGCTCAAGTGGTAGATAAAAATAAATGAAGCCTTAACCTTTCAGATAAACTAGGAAATAATCCACTTGCAAACTCAAATACAGAAGTCTGGAAATAATTTGAGGCTTTAGACTAGGAAAAAAGAACAAAGGCTTCAAAACTGCTTTTTAGACTTTTCTATATACTGTCATACAAGTCAGATGTCTTATTTCATTTTCATTAACCTCAATCCAACCCACTTGTGCAAGTTAATGAAGGGCAAATACTAGCTAATATTCCACACAAGAAAATTAAGTCAGAGGTCCAAGTACAGCCAATAGTTCAGGAGAATGAGTAACATATTTATTATCACTTGGTAACTGAATCAGCTTTAACAGGGAACAAGTAAGACATTGTCAAATAATACTTTTGCAGATTCTCAAGCTAAGATGGCATGCTGTAGGAACTGACTGCATTCACAAAATAACCACACCAAGCATCCTTACTAGGAGTTTCAAGTCTCAGGTAAGGCACAGTTAAACACTGTGGCAGTTAAGTTTTCTGCACATAAACATGGGGAAGAATACTATGAATGCAGTGCATTTTAGCTCAATAGTGCCCGAAACGTGTTTCGGAAAGAAATTTCCCAGCTTCCCAAGGAAATCTAGTTCTTGGACTCCAGTCCCAAGTTGAGCACACCAAACTCATGACATTCATATGAAAAATTGATTATTTCAGGTAATGAAGAACTGGAGAGTTAGAAATCAAGACTAAAGAAATAATATGAAAAAGAAAAGCTCGTTGTCCATTTGTCCTTTAACATACTTTGAGGAAGCCTACAGAAAATGAACCACTGCAGTCCTCAACTCCCTTCGAAACTTCTACAGCAAACTAAAAAAGCAGCCAAGCACCATCTACAGTCTTTGTACATACAGTTTACAACCTATTTCCCTAAATTCTTCTGCCTGTGCTAATTCACATTCAGATTCTTCCTAATTTTGTTTTTCAGTTTCTGTTTTATTAGCCATCCTTGGAAACTGGAATAAGACATGATTCATTAGGTTTATTAATCTTCAGTGACATATCTGACACCTCTTTCACTTTCTGCATGTTTACCAACAAACCATCAGCTTCAGTTCTGCACACTACAATGAGAAGGTGACAGCTCAAGACATACACTCCTTTAATCTTAAATCCCCATATGACAAAGAAATGACCAATCAAGATAGGAAAAATACTGCCTGCTTCATTTCCCTAATTCCCTGATCTTTTAAAAATAAGCCTGAATATCTTCAAGAAATGAATCATGATTTGTGGCATGAAAATCAACTACAGGTTTTCAATGACCAAAAAAACCCAAAAACCCTCACTTAAAAAAAAAAAAAAAAAAAAAAAAAAAGAGAGCAGATCAGAGGGGGGGGGAAAAAAGCAGCCCAAGGATCTGACTGTAGAAGAAAGCGGATTTAACATTTCCTCCAGACAGACAGGGCTTGCACAAAAGAGACCAAGAGATTAGCGCAAGCCAATGACTGTGCCTTACTCCAGAATGGCAAACTGGATACTAGCAGAGATAAAAGTAACTGGGGCAGCATCAAGCAACATCTTGAGAAAGGAAGTCTATGAAATCATCAGCTTCTGAGACACAGTAACAGTTACCCATTAACAGTGGATCATACCCTGTCTGGTGAAGTCCAAGCAGAAAGTAACTAATGGTGGAAAAATTCTGAAGTTATCTCTATTAGATGATCTCAAAACTGCAAAATCTGAAAGCCATCCAACACGCAGGCCTAGCTTGATTTTTGAAAGATGGATAACTGCAGTTTCCCTTATGGATGTTCAGTGTTCCTGAAAATTGAGATTCTAATATATTACTACAGAAAACCCAAAGAAACAAAACTATTCCTTCCTCTCAAATAAACAACTCCTCAATTAATGCAAGAAATTTCTCCAGCCTCATTTTGAGGATACTTTTATTTGTTCAAAATATCAAGTTGCCACCACCTGAAAGCTACAGAGACTCTCAACTGAGAGGCAACTAGCAAATGAAAAGACATTACTTCCTGAGAATGATGAACAACTTTATCTGATTTGCTGTGTTACCACTGAAAAGGCAAGCAGCATGAATAAATACTCTTTACGGAGGCACACAGTCAAGCTGTACTGTCTCAGTTGGTTACTGCTGTATGAAAACACAGCCTTAACTCCAAAACCAGCACTTAACTTCCACCATTTGCCTATTCACATCAGTATCAGTTTGGTTTACCAATAATTGATAGCTTTAAGAATAATTTCCACCAAAATGCTTGAGAAATATGAAGTTAAATTCTTTTGTACCATATTCTGCTCCTTTGAATTTTTATTTGGAGGCACATGCCTACATTTGCACTCATACCTTTCATTTCAATACATCCATCCACAGTATAATTCTTTCTTATCCCTTGTTTGCTGCTTCAACATTCAGTTAAATTTTACTGTTATTCAGCTTCTACCTGTCTCTGCCTTCATATCCCCCCACACTCACACGCCTTCCTGTCTTTGCAGTCAGTTTTATCTTTGAAACAACAGTTATCTTTTGGTTTTGAATTTCACCTACTGAAATCTTACATGGCACTTTAGAAACTCTATACAAATATAAGTATTGTAATGAAAATCTAAACATGTTGCAAATAAGTTGGGAGAGTTGTTCCTTGCATATCACATTTCAAACATTTCATTTTCTAATCCTACTGCATTAAAAAAACTAACATTACTTCTAGACTCTAAAGAACAATGGAAACATTCTGTCTGAAGTGCAGGCATTACATTGATCACAGTGAACCTGTAAGTGCCACTACAAGAGGCATACCTGACAAGTAGGGTCTAGGTCCATTTTTCTTCTGAGGAATTTCTCCACATGTCCAATTGTTGCCTCCCCTGAAACACGCACAAACTTCTTCTCCAAAGGCTGAAAAGAATAAATGTAATATTTTAAGGCAACATACATTTTTAGCCATCATCCCTCGTAAACCCCAAACTCAAATGAAAGCTCAGTTGAGGGACACAGCTCAAATTTTTGTACCCTTCTCTACCTTACTTCCAGATTACTCATAGGGAAAGGACTAAATATGTATTAAGACTTCAGGTTCAAACTTCCTGCTGTTTAAAACAACATTTAAAAATAACCAGCTACTGACTTCAGTCCCATTTGACTATGGGAGTACCAGAGAATAATATTTGCTATTAATTCTGCATAGAAATTAGCATCATACAGCACTTTTAGAACTTCTCCCTCCACAAGCATTTACTCATTAGAAGCACATGAACTATTTCCTAAAGTTTCCTTATTTTCCCCAAATCAGGCTTGTATATCATGATTCAGATAACTAAACTATGTAACTTTATAATGTAAGGAACCCTAAGTCCTTTAGCACTCTAGAAGTATTATGACTTGGGCTGAAATCAATTTAATAGTCCATAAAAATCCAGAATCAATTAAAATATACTACTATGGAGAACACAAGGGCAAGACTGGTCTGAAATCTTTTTGTATAATTTTAAAATACTTTCACAGTGACAACAAGACCTTTGTCATGCCAACCTCAAAAATCTTAATGGGTTTCTCTTCTACGGATAAAATTTTAAACAGCCGACTGGCGATATGGGCAGCTAAGCCAAGAAGCACAAAGGCAGAGCAGATGACTGCATTCAGTATGATAAATGGATTACCTTTTGTGTCAATTAATTGGATTTTTATGTTGACTTCTGAACAGCTGGGATTTACTACCCAGGTTCATCATATTCTTTCAATTGAAAGAAGGGTCAGAGGGTCATGACTACCCGTGAATTCAATCATGAATTTAAATATGTATTCATGATAACCATGGTTTTGGAACAATAGTTTCAGAGAAAGGGACAGAGTGAAGCATGGGGTTAATACATGGCAAAGAATTTGAAAATGCTGTAGAAAAATACCAATTAAAAGATGAGGTACTTAAAACTCACATAGATGATATGGAAATCTAAATATGCACATAAGATGAGTGGCACTTTAGTCTATGGATAGTAGGACTATTTGCAGCACAGAACTATTCACTGTGAGTAATGGTGGGCAGTCTTTCATCTTCAACATGCTCAGAACACTAGAGTTAAAGTGAGCGGGAATATTTATGGCTGAGAAGGGAAAAACCCAACCAAAACCCAACCTTTCCTGAATCACAAGCACTCCTTAATAACGTTCAAACCAAGTATCTTTTAAAAAAGGCAAAACTACTCAAATTGGAGTGGCATGTTTCTGAGGAAGTAAGTGTCTAATAAATTTTAGTATTACAACACAAGTTAATAAAATGGCTGAACTGTCCTATAGTCATTCTTGTCTGGCCCAAAATATACATGATAAAAAACAAAGCAGAAAGAAGGGCAAATATGAGACAGGAAGGATGTGAAGTGATACAAGGTCAAGAAGATGAAAAAAAACAGTGTGAAATGTAAGGATAAAAAGAAGAAAAAATGCTGGGTAGGTATGGGGGTGTAACAGATGAAGAAAATTGACTGGAGACATTTTCAGGATCATTGCCCCCCTTCTGCAGATTAATTCTGTTTTATGAAACTATACTGACACTTCAGTTTTCTGTGAAAATTCTTATTTCTGTATTTGAAAGTTTGAAATTGCTTTCTAAACTCTGCCATAGCAAATGTAATTACTATTAAAAAATAGGATGAATAACTGCAATCAAGTCTAACAGTTCAGATTTGTGCCTGAAAATATATTAACTCAGCTCAAAACATGAAGGAATTAGTAAAATGGTACAATCAGGACAATTCATATTTAAGTTACTAATTTTTTTCTTGAGTTCTTCAACAGTAAAATTTTCCTGCTAACTGTACCAGTTAGGTGTCTCATATTCTATTATTCTGCACCATTCCATTTTTTGAGTCTTACAGTTCCAATACAATGAAAGATTAAATGCAACATATCCTAAGTAATTTTAAATTACATCTCCTTCTTGCCATTGAGTAGTCTTGTTTTCTAAATGTTTAGCCAAAATAGGGGAATGACACACTCTGAACATCTCTAACTATAGCATATGAAATCATGAAGCCAGCAAATAATGTGCAGTTCCTCTATGAATTTGTACCAAAGCAGCTCAGTAAGAACTGTACTGGACAAGGAGCCATATTGTTTAGGAAGGATCAGGAACGTTACTGCTTGTTTAGCAGAACAGCCATCATTCAAGACAGCAAACATTGTTAGCAAAAGGCAAGGAGAAAAGAATAAGCTTTCTGCTGGCTAAGGAAGTATATCGTGTTGTCCAGACAATTTGTATATTTTTTTGTTATATGTTTAAGCAATTTATTATACTGTTGCTATACCTCAGGCTACACTTTCTCTGAATAACCTAGGCAAGCTTTCCAGTACAATCAGAGAATCTTCTTCAAAAAACAATATTTTAGACAATATCTATACCTTTGTTTAGGATTCCAGTAAAAGCCATAGTAGTGCACCTTTTGGAGAGATGCAAGAATAACAAGCTCGAATCACCTAGGTGAAATTTCATCAGTAGCATTCCCATTTTCCCAGCAAAATTTTGATTTTTAGCCACAGAAGCATTCTTTTCCTATTCTGTGATGCTATACAACAGTTAGTTGAAAGTACACTAATCCAAGGTTAGTTATTACTATGCTGATGAAAGTTCAGGCTGCACTCTGTGTAAGAAAAAACTAAATTAAATACATTCAGGTTATATATATTTCTGAAGTAAATCATAAGAGAAAAATGCAAATTATATCTGTACCTTAAAATTCCCTGTGCCTTCATTAGCTCTGAAAAACAAGAGAACAGTAAGACAGTCAATATTGCTAAGGTTAAGTTATTAACACCCTCAAGCTCTTTATTATAATTGTGACTTACTGATTTAGCAGTCTAGCATATCAAACTTATTTTCCTAATCAGTCTCTTCCTTTTATTAAAGTTTAATACATTAAGTAATATTAGACTGAGTTTATAGATCTTTCTCCTCTTTATTTGTATTTCATTTTCCTTGTGAATTCAGCTATTTATGACTTTAAAGTTTGTCTACATGAAATGGAAAACACACTCAACACAGCCTAATGCCATTTTTAAACACAATATAACATTCATTTTCATAGAAGTAGGTTGTAGTATTAATGCTGCTTAAGCATTCATACCTCATCATCCCTGATATTTAGAACCTTAACAGACAATACCTAAGAAGTTACTGACAGAACATGCCCAACCACCAAAGGGGCTTTCTGGGCCAGTTTTTGGCTTTCCAGACTTATTTATATCACAGTATTAATGCTAATGCTATACAGGAACTCAGGAAAACAGCAGGTATTTCTCTGAAAGGTTAAATACATATAAAGGTGGCAAATGACCAAATTCCCAGCTGGTTTCAACAGAGGTTCACTGATTGGCACAATCTGAGCATGTGATCTACTACTGATCATCTATACTTCATACTCCATCTTGTAGTACAATGTATAAGTTTCCCAATTAAGCATGCCCAATTCATGACATTTCACTATTTTTAAATTGCATTAGCAAGTATGTACATGAGGGGGAAAAAAAAAAATGCAGTACTTCACTGCACTGGGGGGCAAAAATCAAACATCCCTATAGATCAACCATACTTCTACTGACCATTTGATATAGAAAACAAATGTATTTGTAATGTTTGTGCAGACCACACATTAGCATGGCACTTCAAGTTACTGTAATTATCTTCACCTCTAAATATGTACCAGCTATCAGGCAAAGTTAAGTAAAACAATCATCAAATTCTGCCACTGAAATTAAATTTAAAGTTACTAAGAAACAAACACAGAAAAGCTTTTCCACTACAGCTGTCATTTGCTTTGATACAGCTCCACAGCCGACTAGGTAATATACTCTAAAGACACAATATAGACAGTCAGACTAACAAAGTAACAATTTCTGCTGGCTGGTCCAATCTATTCCAAGTTTTCTTTATCTAAAATGCTTTCTTAATCTCTCATCACCAAGATAAACGCTTTGATTTTGACCACTAAGGAGGAAAACATATTAACCTTTAAACTTATAAAGAATAAAAGAACATCAAAGGTTAAAAAAGCCACTAAAATAAAACGCAAAGTAGGTGCTGTCAAGCCGTCATCCTTGTTTTGTTAGAATCATTCTGTGCTTCCCTCCACATGAGTAACAAAACCCGTGGAGAGTTTCACATAGTATAGATGGTATTTGCACACCTGCTTTGCTGCCAGCACTGGAATGGAAGCTTGAAATAAAGCTACCAGAAAAACAAATACAACACAGATTCAAAAGTCATCTCGTGTCAAAGACAGGCAGATACATGTTTACTAGTAAAGTAAAAGACTTTCACAGTGGAGATCTAAACCACTTTCACTACAGTGAGTTCAAACTGTATCTAATCCTGAAGTCAAGACAACCTAAGGAAGCTTTCCTAGAGTCACCAAGTGTTCCAACCTGAAAGGGACATCCTTGGTACTAAAACCTAATTTCTGTTTTTTGAAGTCATTTTTAGTGAAATTACTACCAAGACAGACGACAGACATTAGGCTGTTGGTATAAAAGCAGGCGCCTATGCCCCTGCACTCCACGTGCTCCCTCTGCCACCTGCTGGTGGCCAGCACAGCAGCGGCTGGTACCCATCACCAGCATCCTCCAAACCCCCATCCAGACGGGAACTTCATGGGATACAGGCACAGCCAAGGCAATAAAACAATCACATATACATTCCTAACCCAACATCAGTGTAGACTAAATAGCATTACATCTATTCTTTTCAACGGAGATTTTAGTCAAAGCATTTTACCTTTTGTCTGTATATATCCATTTAAACCACATTTTACACAATGGGGTAAAAAGCATGCTTGAGTATCAGGTCGCTGGGATCCTGTACTAATTGCATTTGTTTTATACCACATTCATTAAAGGGAAAAAAGCCTTTATAAGTACAATTAAAAATTAAATTAAGTTTCAAGTGTACCATACACAATGGTCACAGGCCGAACAGCTGTGTAACATCTTTGCTTTCCTCTCCTGTTCAACACATGGCTCTTGGCTTTACTGCTCTTAATGCAAAAGCATTAATTTCTTCAGTCTTGTTCCTTCAAAACGTGAACATATTTCCATACCATCCCACTCAGCAGAATGGCAGTATAACACCTTGTTTAAAAAGAGGAACCAAAGACAGTCTGTGTTGAAAGGTAACCAAGAACTGAAAGTGCCAATTTGGGACATCAAAGATTGTCTGCAGAACACTTGATACTCCAGTTTAAGTCATGACTCTTGCTGCTTTCAGCTGTGCTTGTGAACATTCAGCACTTCTGCAAGTCGGGCATAAAGAAAATGAACACCGAAATTAAGTCTGGTATGTGGTTTCACAAGGATATTCTATAATATAGTCAGGCATTGTTCCTTAGAGGTTTAGTCCAAGACCTCTCTTTTCTTCCCACAGTCCCACTCCTTGTCCATTTAAAAGAAATAAAGAAGCTGCATGATGGGCAACATAAAAATAAAGCAAACAAAACAAAAAAACACACATCACCATCTACCTGACCAAAATTTACCCGTGGAGAATTACCCATGGAGAAAATTTGTTCTGTATTCTGAATAAAGTGAGACACAGTGGAGACACTGGACATAACATATAAAAAGACTAGGACATGATGTCTACAAAGAATGAGCTGAATCAAATGGTATGCTTTGCTGCTAGAATTTACCAATTTCTGAGGGCTTGATTTCACATCATTTGTGTAATAGTTTGCTATGACTATGTACTGGAGTTCTCTGAACATTTTGTTCAAAGTCAGGCCAAAAGCTGGCACAATCTGGGTAGAGGGGTCAGAGTAGTACAAAAGTCAAGCCGCTTGATGTTCTGCACCGTGTGGTGCTAGCAGAGTAGTTACAGCTTTCAAACCTGTCTCAGTTACCTTCTCTCAATCACTAACATTATAAAACTGCACATGGCCAAAGCAATACAATTTCTCCTTCTTGTGTTCCTGAAAACAAATCAAGTGTTTGGGCCAGATTTCACCCCCACAATCCACGGCTAAAGGTGACTTCTCATACAAAAGTTTCAGCATAAGCAGACCACATTATTATCCTCACCACTCAGAGGAACACTAACTCTTGATGCTCAGGTTGTAGTTGCAGTCCCTGAGTTACACAAGCAAGTCCTAGCATAGTCAACATTAATAGTGCTGCCACTTACAGGGATTAAGGAAGTCTAAGAGACAAGTATTTCAACATTCAGTTTACTGAGACTACACTACTTTGTTAAATATAAACCACATGTAAGTTTTAAAACTACACTTTTTAGGAAGCTGTTCTCATAGGAAGACACGCATTTAATTATCTGCATCATCTAGCTACGCATAGTTGACTATCACTATTGCACTCAAGTTAAAACCAGCTGCCCATTGCTATTCAAGATGGAGGAAATGCACATTCAGTGAAAACGAAGAGCCAACACTTACATTTGCTCACAACTCACCCGATGAACTCCAGAAGTATAGAGATGTCAAGTTCTGGTGGGATCCGGAACACAGAGCCCAGAACTTTTCGAGGTCTTCCTCTGCTCACTGGAACGGGCTGTGGGACAGCTAAAATATTCAAATAGCCAAAATGCAAACACAACTTGAAATAAAAGCAGCATAAAATGCTAACATGGGCCAAGCAAAACAGATGAGCTCTTAAGGAAAAAAAGCCCGTGCAATTAATCCTATTTTTTTATTACTATATCAGCTCTTTATACATTTCATGCTGTGTATTTGAACCAGCATTTTATCAGCTTTCAGCATGGCATTTCTCCAAAGAGCTGTTTATTTGATAGTAAAACAAAAACCAGAGTAATCCCCCATCTGACAATAGACTTTGAAGTTCTTATTTCTACTCCTTTGTAACATCTATTATTTATTAAGGGCCAGAAAATAAAATTAATGCACATTTTAGATATATTTCTTTGTTGTAGGCAAAATATAATTAAAAAAAAAATCCACCACAATCTGGGTTTAAGTGCTGACAGTTTCATCTGTTTTTGTAAACTGAGAACTGTGACAAGTTACAGTAATCAGACAACCAAGAATCCCATATTTCTAATACTATCTTCTTCAGTTGTGAGTAATATTTCAAGGAAAGCCCTTAAGAATAAATGGTATAGTAAATATTTCCTTAACAGTGTCCTCTAAAGTGATTACAGCTCACCTGGTTTGGGCACTTCTAATCCTCTTTCTTTATAGAAATCATGCATTTGTTTTTTCTCTCCTGAAAAAAAACCACAACAGTACAGAACAGATTGGAATGTTTTTTCAGATGCTGAGAATATTCATAGTTTCCAATGATCAGAGCAGTAAAAACTTTCCAAGTTCCTACAGACCTTCACCATCACTACTATTCCATTTGAGGCTGGGACACTTAAGATATCCAGACTAAGAATTTGTTAGTGAAAACTGGAAGAAATGAGAGTAACTGGGCATAAATCATACTGAAATAGGTGCAAAGACTAGCAGCCTTTTGGCTGTCATGACTCTGTTTTTATACCAGCTATAGTCTGTATATATCCCCTGGATGTGCATATTTCACCCAGTCCACCCAGATGGACTGTGCAGATTCATTGGCTCCCAAAGTTCAAGGTAAATGACATGAGACAGTGAACACATCTAAAATCAGAAAAATAAAAGTGGCACTGAGGAAATAAATACAAGCATTTTGAGAGAATCAGTCTGAGCAACTTTTTTTCAACTGAGCCAAGTGAACTTGAAATTATGTTTTCTGTACTTATACAAAAATATGAGGCATGACTATGAAATATTATCTGGATGCTTATTTGGATACAGCGGCGGCTGTGTTTCATGAGATGGGGTACACACCACTATCCATAATAGCATATAGCAGCCAGAGAGATGCTAGTTGTCACAGCTAATTCATTAAGATTTATACCCAAAAGTTAGAAAACTATTTTAAAGACTCCAGAACAGAAAGTAGGCTTTGAATTACTCTGTTTTCTGTTCAGTATTTTCAATCTCTAGATGGTAATAAAATAAAGAGACTTACTTTCCTCCAAATTGACAACTAATTTATAGACTATGTCTTGCAGTTGCCTGTCCAGTCTATTAAAGAGAAAAAACATAAAGCATTTTTGGCACAAAACTGAATGGTTTTCATTAAATTGTAACAGAGATGAAAACACACTGTTGAAATGTGATGTCCATAAAAAGAAGTGACAGAGCAGCAATTTCATATCTGTCTAAATTCATGCCCTGACAGCAGAGCTCCAACAGAAGTAGCCATGTAAAGTCAGCAGCATTCAAGAATTCATGAACAGTTTGAGAAACTAAAACTCAATTTTCAGAGTTAATAAGCATAACATGCCAACAAAGGTTTGTCTAAAAGGAAAACAAAGCAAACAGTTAAGTTCTGGTATCACCTGTAACACTGAGCAAATGCATAAAAATACCCAGGGCAGGGGGTAACAAGCCCTAGAAAGGGATACAAACTAGGTAAAACAAGAAATTGAGTATTTTTATCTTTACTACTGAGATGAAACTTAAACAAAGAACACAAGGCATTTCTTGTAACTGTTTCTTCATTTGAAATAAGAAACCACTATGTTTGTAAACCAAAACATTTAAAAGCAAGCAGCAAAACTTGAAAAATGTTATACCTATAAAAATGGATAAACTTATTACCTGATATTATAAAGGGGCTGTGTCTGATGTACAACAATATTGCATTTTGGACATCTGTTGCTATAGTAGAAGTGTCTCACTATGCAGCTTTTACAAACTGTAAAGAAAAGAAACCCCATAGAAGTCACATGCCCATGACACAATACCATCCGTTCAAGCAAGAGGAGCAATTACACTCAGGCATGTCAAATAAAATATCTCAGAGACAAAATTAAGTTGTTCAGTTTTCAAACTCAAGTAAACAGCAGCTCTCTGCCTGTACAGGATATAACACTCCTGAATATTCCATTAATCCAAATGACACAAAAGTAGGTGTTCAATGTTGTAATTGTGTTACCCAGAATAAGAACAGAGCTAAAACAACAGAATATTGACTGCTGAAGACAAAATGTTTGCTGAAAAGCACCCTACAAATGTTTGCTGAAAAGCACCCTACAAATTTCAGTACAAGAACCAAAGTAAGAAATTATAATTCTGCCATCTTCATTGTATTTTACATGTACTTTATAAATTTCAAAGGAAACCTAATGCGTGGAAATATTTAGAATAAATAACCTACTATCAAATCAGCTCCATACCAGGCTGAACATATCAAACTTTTCCACAATATTTACCAGGAAACTTCTAAGATACCACCACATTTGCACTTGCAACTTTATGCTGTCCTTACTAACAGTTGTGCATTTTCCTAAATTACAAGCTGCAACAAGTATTTCATGGTATATATCAAACTAGTAAGCAGTGCCCCATAAAAGAAGAAAAAAAAGAGAGAAATAAAAAGGTTTTTCCCTCTGTGTAGTGTATACAGCTGGAAGGAGTAGGATGCTAAGATTCTTGGACCCAGGTAGGAACATGGGTGTGGCTCAGTCAGCTTCACAGGAAGGGTTTTATTACCTTTCATAGAAAATATTTCCATTAGCAATGGAAAAAATATTAACAGAACATAAAGATTGAGAGAAAAAATAACAAGACAAGAGCACTGAAGTCAGTATTTCATTATCAATTGGTTTCTATTCATCAGATTACAGACTAACTGTTCCTTGGGTGCATATAACTGTTTCTGTATCTGAACTGGTACTTCAACACAGCCACTTACTGAATTTTGTGGTTTTACAAGCTCATATCAACAGTGTAAGAAACTCTCTAGTCCATTATGAGCAGAGCCACTCAGCTTTCTTTTCTCAGTTATATACTCAAATTCCTAGAGCCTACTTAAAAAAAAAAAAAAGTATGTAGTAGCTCTATTTTTCTTTTACTCAGGCTTTATCTTTCCCTATATCTTCTTCCCTCTTAACCTGGAAGCTAAACTGACTTAATGATTGATTTCATAGTTTTCTGATGTTTAAAACATCCACAAATATATTTTCGCTAAGGAACAGGATAAACACAACATACATTCAAACAGAAAATTATCTTTGTGAAGCCAGAACATCTCAACAGCTGATTTTTGTTTGAATTTGCAACTAAACTCTTACAATGACAATGCTGATACTTACAGGTGTGCAGACATTCTGTAATAGTTGTAGCATCAATGAAGTAACCTTTGCAGATGGAACACAGGATGTAAGGGGTCAAGTCTGCAAGGTTTATCATACGCTACAAGCAAAGACAGTTTGTAAGAGTTTGAATACACAGGTTAAGCCATTAAATTTCTTGATTGCAGCTTCTAAAATATCACAGCCTTAAACTATGAAAAAAATCTGGATCAACATGTTACAGAAATGGGTTTTTCTAAGTGGTCTACCATTTCTCATATTCAACTGTTTTCTAAAGTTTTTCATCTAGTCTTCTGAATTGACCTTTTTGTAAACAGCAATCCAGATTGTTTCATGAATTATATTTGAAAAGCAAACTATAAACAATCCTTTTGTTGAAAGGCGATAAACTCTTTAACAAAGTATCAAATAATCACCAAGCTTGAAGGGGACAGTAGTAGCAAATACCCTTATTTGAAAATGCTTAGCAAGTGTGTTGGGGCCCCCAGTCAAGATACATAAGTAGTGCTGCATCTTGTTTCTACACATAGCTTGGGATTATACAAATACATACTGAAGCAAAGACATATCACTGCTCTGAATTCTGGTTATAAAGTACATTTATCAGGAATGCATACGTTTCACAACAATTTTCCTGTTGGAAGTCTACTATTTCAAAAAAGAACAAATTTCTTTGACAGCAACGGTCTGACATCTGAGTAACGTTAGATTGCTATGTTCCATTTCCTTGTCTCAAAGCCAGACTAAGAGGCTTTCTTTCCCTCAATGACACCATTCATTTCACCTACGTGTCACTGTCTACCACCCTCTCAGCTACAGCAAGAGTTTGTAAGGACTTAATTTAAATGAGACAGATAAAATTAACGGTTAATAATAAAAAGCCTATTACTATACAGCTTACGTTGCCTAAGCAGGCGTCCAGATTCACACCTGGAAGTTTTCAGAAGTCCCCAAAAGTATGACGTCCACTTCTTACAGGGCCTGCCTGGAAACCGCGGACTTCCGCGGACGCGGGTCCTCGCCTGAAGACGTTGCGCTTCACACCGCGCGGCCTCCCCGCTCCCTCGTGCTCTCCTCACGCTCGCAGCTCCCGCCCTCATCTCGCAGCCGCCCCCAAGGCGCCCTGATCCGCTCCGGAGCCCCGCAGGCCACTCCGGCCGGGGCCGCTCCCGCCATCCCGTCCCCTCCCCCGGCCACGGCCGCCC